CACATACTTGACAGCTACTGTATATTATAACATAATAAGATACAATCTATTGAATGGAAAACGTTTAAAATAGAATAAATTTTTATATTTGGGTGTTAAAGAAGCTTAATTATTCTTAATTCTGCTGCATTATTTAATTCTGAAGAGCCAAAGAATAGAAATCGTACTGATTAAAACATCTTAGATTTGTGTTACCTGTATGATTATTGTCTGACTTCACAGTCAGTATCCTAATACAGCTTTAATACTTTGTCTAGCACAATTCAGTTAGTGGTGTAGCATACTAAATTGTAGTATGTAAAGGTGGTGGTTGGCCAAAACGTCTGTAATTTGACCAGAGTAATACATGTCTGGAGAAAATTGTGCTGCCTTTGAACCTCGGCATAGCTTTAAAAGGCAAGTTAGACAGAGTTCACTTCAGCTTTGAGTGCAGCTCAAGAATGCTGGACTGCATTCTTGTCGATAAAGCCAGATCTTCACTTAACACCTCATGCAAACAACTGGTGATTGATGTTTTTTGTGTGTGTGCGATGCCTAAAGTTATTTATTTTATTAGAATATAAAGGAATACTTAACCCTAGCAGTCATTCTACATTCAGAAAAAACAAAAACAAAAAATGTTTCTATTGTCTGGTGAACAAGAACAAAAAGCAGCAAAAAAAAAAGTAGATGCAGTTTTTCTACAAGTGGTGAAAGCCCATCACTCTTTGTTAGCAGTTGCTGTTGTCATGGGATGCTGTTTTAATTTCAGAATATATAAATAAACGCACACTGCATCAATGCTGTATATACATAACATTTTTAGCTCTTGGCCGACATGCCTTTTCAGTCATGATGTAAATTTTGTTTAAATGTTATGTGCTGTCATTTGTTTTTCCCTGATAGCGCATTCATGGTGGTTGGCTTGTCTTCAAAACTAACAAAACTGAACAGGATAATTAGAAGATGTTACCAGGTTCTGTTGGTTTAACTGCAGTTTCAGTGGTATGATTGCACAATCTTAGTACTTGAGTAGCTGTTAGGTTGCCAAACTGTTATTTCCAAATCCTGTAAAACCAGAGCTGCAACAAACTTGCATGACAGTAACAGATATAAATGCATGAATCGAATTTATTCATTCCAGGAACAAACTGTCATTTTTAAAAAAATGTAGTGAAAGGGAATAGTCTAAAAACTATTGCCAGACACTTAAATAAACATCTCTCTTTCACAGTGGTGCATTACAGAGTTATTGTGGCTTAGCATATGGATGTCAGTCTGAACCAGGGCACTGCTGAGCAGTGAAATCCCCTCTAAGATCCCACAGATGAATCTCAGAGGAGGACACTAACCCCTCCTTTTTGTCCCAGGGCCAGCAGGCAGTCAAACACTCATGTCTGTCAGATGAACCCTGCACTGGTCTGCCTAAACTCCAACGCGAGAGCTAGCATACAAACCAAGTGTTTTATCCTCAGAGAATTAATAATGATACTGTACAAAACAGAAATCCCGAGGTTGAATATTTGAGATACATTTATGAAGTGTGAGCTGAAATTAGGAACCAAAATGTGAAGGTTGACACTGATTTTGATAAGTAAATTCTGGTTTAACTATGTATATAACTATTTGTGATAAATGGAAGTTGAATGCATTTCTTTTCTTTTCTTTTTTTTTTTACCAGTAGGGCAGCTCCCCTGCACTGTAACATTTGGGTAATGTTTTTACCAGGATGCTCTGTCTATGTTTGTCCTGTATCTAATCTCAGGCATGAACAGCCTTAAAGACAGATCTGAGACTAGATCCTTGTCAACAACAGCGCTCCTCCTGCCAGCCACTGGGTCAGTGCCTGCAACTGCTGCCAAAGGGGCGGCGCCTGCACTCATGGGCTCCGGCAGTTGTGGTTACTGAACCTATGATTCGTTTTGCTCCCCCCACAAACAGTGGAAATGCTGTCTATGCCTGGGCTGGCATTAAATGAACCTTTTTGTATGCACATATTGTTACCAAAATCTGTGAAAATAGAAGTGTGTGTGTGTGAGAACAAAGAACGGAGAAGTCAGAGCCTCCTCGCAGACTGTCTCTCGTATCAAAGAGGAGACTGTAAATATGACTGCTCAGCTGGCATCCCAGAACCATGTTAATATACCCCAAAGTGTGGTTTAGGCACCGCAACCATTTTGTTCTCCCTAATTTAGGCTTTCTGAATCCATTTTAGGTCTCCATTCATAGCGTCGATCCCTTGAGATGTAACATCTTCATAAAGAAAAAAGCAACATAATGTTTATGAACGTAAATCTCAAAGGATGGGAGAGGAAGAGAAAAAGTTTATTTTTGTTCCCAAATTTGTTTTGTCATTTCAAACATCTGTAAGTACTTTCGTAGTTTAAAAAATTCATGTCTTTGTATGTAAATATATATGTATCCGCTATAAGTGGATGTGTAAGTAAATGATACTCCTCTGGTATGCTTGTAACCCATGTCCCTTTCTCTTTCTGTCATAATATAAAATCTAAACGCACTAATCAAACACTGCAGTCCACTAGATGGATTGTGGGTAATAATATACCCATCTTCTCAGCAGTTCTCCCAAACTCCCACCACAATGAAATGAGACTTTTCATCACTTCATTAAATTGGCCTGTCATTTAAGAAAGATTTGCATTTTATTTAAGACAAAGGCCCATCAGCCTGGTAATTTAAGCTTTACTCTATATAGACCACTCATGCTGTGCAACTCGTCCTGTGTAACTTGCCCCTAATTTTCATTATTCTCATGTAAACATTTTAATGCCATATAGCCTAATTATGGAAGGATCCCTGAGGGGATTACTGCCTAATCCTTTTCCTGCCTATGAGCAATGGATGCTGTGAGCATTTCTCTGTGCCTAGTCCTTCAGGGCAAATCTACAATGCTTTAGTCCTAGAGGTGTTACTTTTAGTAAGAGGTGGAACGCTTTATAATTTAAGGGCTGGTGTGAACAAAAGGGCAGTCAACTTTTATTGTTGCTCAAGGCTTTATGACAAAAAGAATCGATTGTATTTCAAATATTATTTTAATGTAAGAACAAATTCACATACTTTCACTCTTATTGGTGCTCCCCCTCCCTTTTTAATCTCTTTCGCTGTCTCTCTCTCTCTCTCTCGCTCTCTTTTTAAACAAATACACCAGACCTTATCAGACATGCAGAAAAACAGGCTTGAGGTTACTGGTTACTTATATGAAGCTTGTAAGCAACGTGTAGCGTCTGCGCTGATAGCATCAGCAGATAGGATCACCGTTAATGGATCCGAGCAACGCTGAGGAAAGAAAAAAAAAATCAGGGAGGGCGGTTTAACTGTGCAGCCTGCAAGAGCGATGAAGGGGCGCTCTGGGAGTTGAGACCGAAATCCACTTGTATTCCTGTAACACTAGCGGCCATAATTGGCCGAGGAGCGCAGATTAAGATTGATGAGACATTAAAGTGGCTCTTTGGAGTTTAAGGAATCGATAAATATCCTGATTTCGAGAGGTTTCGTTTGAGAGCAGACAAATCACTGTAACGGTACTCCACAGCGACACTGATCTGAGAACATGGAGGAGAAGGAGGAGAAGGAGGGAGGAGACTGAAATAAAGATGTGATCACTATCAGCTGACCAGGGCCACAAGCCCACCTTAACACTCTCGACGACTTTTTGGAATTGAAAACGAGGTTTACTAGAGTATTTTTTTTTTTCATTTATTTCTGTTTTTTATTGTCATTTTTATATTTAATTTTCCGAATTCGTCGCTTGGCTTGTCCCTGTCAAAACAGTCTTGAATAACAATTGTGTAAAATCATATTTTAATCTCATGTATAATAAGAGCGTTTTTCTTTTCTTTTTTGGATTGCCTTTATGGAAACCATTCAGACTGCAAAAGCATTTTTGTTCTCCTTAATAGTGTATATAAATATTGAAATTTATTGTAATAATTTTTAATTACATCCCTATAACTCCACTGAATACGCTGTATTTTCGCATGTACGGATGCACACTATCAGAAACAGGCCTTTAAAAACCCTACAATTGCCGCAATGTACACGTTATATTGATGAATTAAAGGTTTCAATAAAAAAAAACGCAATACTTGAAAAAAGATTCAAATACATTCATAATTATAACTACAGATTGTAGTTGTACATCTGGGATTTGTGGATAATCGGCCGCGAGATGATGGCACCCACTGTAATCGCATTGGGCAGTTTAGCGGAATTACACTTATCTCGCTTTACTTAATATAATAATTTTTTTTTAAAAAAAAAAGAGTAATAATCTCTTTTCTTTTTTGCGCGTTACTTATTGAGCATGTGGCCATCCCCTCTGCACTCTACAGGCCCAGTGGTCCTGAGCAGCCCGGCCCAGCTTGTTGCCCCTGTCCTGGTGGCTCGGGGGACTCTGTCCATCACCACCACTGAAATCTACTTTGAGGTGGACGAGGATGACCCTGCCTTCAAAAGGGTCGACTCAAAGGTAAGTAACCTGCAAGCAAGTGTACAGCTCAAGTTTAAAGCGGCCAGTTGGTTTCAGACGTGCTTCTCGGTGTTTTTTGCCCTTCCGTCTTACAGGTGTTAAGCATTTACGTCTTATTTATATATAAAATCAAAACGCGAGATTTCATGTTTTCTTGAAAAATAAAGTCCTCCGCTCTTCCGCATATGCTCTGTATTTTTTTTTTTTTTTTTGAATAAGTTTATTGCTCAGATTTTTGTTATTAGGTCATATTTTTGGACCCCAGTGCTGTGTACTTAATACATTTTTTCTTTCTTTTCTTTTTTCAATCTGCTAGATTGCTTTAAAATATTGAATAAGAAAACGTTAAATAAGAAAATTACTTTTTTTCTTTCTTCCTCCCTTCTTTTCTTTTGGAAAGTTTGAAATGTAGAATGCTAACGAGAGCATGAGACCCCCAACATGAAAAGTTCCAATAAATAATTATTTCTTCGCATTAGGCCTACTTCACTATTTCAAATACACATTTAATAAAACCATAATGGGACACAAATATAAAACAGCTCGTTTTATTAGCTCTTTAAATTAGATCAAAGACAGAAATAAAAAAAACAGATCACAGATGTTATAATCCAGTGTATTTCAAGTGCATTTTTTTCCAATTAAACTGTAATATATATTTATACTATATATATATATGTTATCATTTTCTTTTCTTTCTTTTTTTTTTTAAATCATGTAGGCCTAAGCACGGTAGAGAAAAACAATTCAAATGTTTGTACTTTAAATAATAATTCAAGTAAATCGATGGAATGTTTTCAATGTAACAAAATGCCGTACGCCTACCATCAAAATGTAAACTTTTAAAAATTAGAAAAAGTCCATTGAAACAGGTGAATCAGACTACCACTGATGCAAGTATAAATTAAAAACGTTTCTACCAGATAAAGAAAAAAAAAGTTCAGAAGTAGATTTAAACAGGTGGATCCTATTTACGTGTCACAGAACAACATTCACAATTTCAGACCACTCGAATCACAATCTATGAATGTATTTACAGTATAAAATGTACAGATGTGTTTTTTTGTTTTTCCAAAGGTTGTCTCGGGCTTTATTCTAAAGCGTTTAAGGAAATGCAGGATTTAGGCAGCCGTGTGACACGGAGAGGGAAGAAACCACTTCTGAGGTGGCCTCCTGGATTAGCCAATAATTTAAATTTAAGTATTGACACCTCCAAAAGGTGCACGGGGAGAGTGACAAGCTAGGCTGTTATTTAAAAAAGAAAATCATCTTGAAACAGGCTAGGCCAAAACATAACAACAGAGGACAGTCACATTTCACAAGACTTGCAAATCAGTTGGCAATATTTTGTGTCCGTTTAGGAGCTCATTAGGCCTCTTCAAAACATTTTTAAGACGAGGTGAACTAATATATTTTATTTTTACCTCAGAGTTTCTCCAAGCTTTTGGGGTTGGTCAGTATTTCTCTCGCCAGTCGCCAAGTCTGTTTGGCTGCATTCTCTAGAGCAGAGTGAGGTTTTCCTTGAAACAGGTCTAAATTGGGCAGGAAATAATGAGGGCACCTTCTGCACTGCAAACACGAAATAAGTTGCAATAGTATCCCGTTCAGGCGATCGCCGAGGCAGTTCTCATCCCAGTCCGACTCCCTGGGATGCTTCTCACACTCGTAGGAAACCAAGGTTTTCATGTGGTAGTTGTTCAGAGGTTGCCCGGGCAGTTCGAGGTGACGGTCTCGCAACGCTTTGAGGACAGACAAGCACTTCTTCCTGCATCCACCCAGAAGGAGTCGGTTCTCGGCCTCGGCGAACTGCAGGACCCAGGCGTCGCTCTCTGCTGAGCTCTGCTTGCCGTTCAGGGAGTAGCACTCTTTGGATAAAAGATTGAAACCTTCCGCTTTGACTTCTGCCACCCTGTTAGGTCCCGGCCAGGGAATGTGAGGCAGGGGCCAGTGCGCAGCGCTCCGTGGCCAGATGCCAGTGCACTTGAAAGCTGGCGTGATTTGTACCACATATCTGTCTCTAATGCGCAGCTTCACTTCACTTGTGTCAGCGACCATTTTGACAACATCTCTGTAGCTGCATTTGTCTACTGCCTGCGCCACCAGTGTCTGAAATCTCGACCGGATCTTGCGCGCAGAGAGGTAACCGGAGGCTGTGATGAATTCGACCCACAGAGACATGCTTCTCTTGCGGCCATCGCTGAGTTTGAGGACGGCGCAGCCGGGAATGGACCCGTCGTCCACAAAGTTGAATACTCCCATCTGATTCAGATAGAGCACAACCTCGAATTCAGTGGGCGAAATGACCTCCAGTCCCTCGAAACGATTATCCATCTCGCTGAGAGAGCTGATGAAGCGGGGCTCCTGCACCTCCACCTCCTTCAGGACATCCGAAACCACCTTGCACACCTCTCGGATGGTTTTGGCGATGGCTGCTTTCCGAGACTGACATTTCTCGTTGTAGTATTTGTTGAGGTGATACACCAACTTTGCCTGGGCGGCTATCATATTAGGGCAGAGATCCGGGTTATACACCGGAGTCTCGCAGTAAGCCGAGGGATCCAACGCGGCTGTTTGTACGGGAGCCAATTTTAGAGAAGAAAGAAAGCTATCTAAAAAGAAAAAAGTATATTTATAAAACAAACAAGCTGTGCTCAGAGCACACGCGTAAAAATCATATCACAACATTCACAGCTGGTGTGCCGTAAACTGCATTGAAGTGTTCAAAGCAAGTCCTCGAAATTAGAAGGGTGTTGTGATTAAAAGTCCATTTCAGTCTTGTTCAGTAGAAATGCCTTTTTCGTTTTTGTCTGATCACTGTGCCAGTTAAGAGTCCGCGTAATTGCGCAGAGTGGAGTGTGTCCTCTTGACGCAGACGCCCGGTATTGCTGTGTTTTACAACGGGAACACACACACACACACACACACACACTTTATTATAAGGGAGGAGTTGAAACCAAGATGTCCAATCGCTGTCCGATGCGTCACCGCAGTTTATCGAAAACAAATTCATCCCCGGGTGTTATATACAAGTAAAAAGTACAGGTACTAGTAGTATATCGAGGAGCGGAAGTACACCTACGCATTTGGAGAGAAGAAGAAAGCAGAATTTCCACAGCTCAACGTGTCTTATTTTCCGTTGGACGCTATCTTCTATTTTTTTAGTGCACTTTGTAGAATCATATTTGAAACAGTAGGTGGGTTTAGAATTGTTTGGTATTCATGTATTCGTCTAATAAACGGCTCAGTTTTCAGTTTCATTTAAATTGTCCTCTTTCTGCATCGCACGAGATCGATTTTTTTTCATGTAGGTTAAAGCAGATAAATCACAATTTGAACGGAGAAATGCACACAGCAATATATTAATATGTATGGATTAAAATACTTTTGTACATTTTAAGACATATATTAATGAAAACAATCAAGCTTTGCTTTTTTTAATTGGATCTTTAAATGTTACGTTAGGTGAATAAACAGCGTTGAACTACCGCCTTTATTTTGCAAGAATAAAATATTTTGAAGCTATTTATCATTTTTGACTTATTATTTAATTTAGTAGTTATGAGTTTGAGTAACTTATGTCAGCTTTAAAAATTCAGCTTGTATGATAACGAGAATTTTTTTTTGTAAGTATTTTTTATATACATTATGTATGTATTTGTATTTTTTTGGGGGGGGTGGGGGTCAGCAACAGTGTAATTTTATTTTAGCATTTAAATTAATGTATTTTCTAAGAAAACCAAAACAGCTGTAATCTTAACAACTATATGGTTCTTACAGTTTTCTACATTTAAAAAAAAGAGTTTTATCATTTTAACCAAAAAATTAATTTCAGTCAGTGAATGAGAATGTGCAATAATTAAATATTTATTTTGGTCTTTGGGTTATTAATTTTCTCTGAAAGTAATTTTAATATTAAAGATTGTCAGAGTTATTATTGTGTGTTGTATGTAATGTCAATAATTATTTAAATAAATAAAATATTTTACATTGAATACTGCATTCTTAAATAGAGGTACTTTTTTCAACAAGATAGTAATACCACCCCCCCCCCCCCCCCCACCCCCCCCCCCCAAAAAAAAAAAATCCAGGAAAAAAAATAAACAGTTGCAATATTTTGAAAATGAAAAATAAAAAAGTAAATATAAGCAAAATAATTATCATGTGTATGTGCATTTTATACACAGTGCCATGACCCTCAATAAAGTGAGCTTACATCTGCACTAAACCCTCTTCTGGCTCTCATCATTGCACTGGCACTCCATCTCACAATACAGTGCACGCTTTGAAGACGACTTCAAAAAGATGATTCTGCGTGGATCAGATAAGCAACAAAAAGTCATTTACACTCATCTCTGCTCTAGCCTGAACTGCACACAACCAGACATTATGAGGGCAAACCGCTGCTCGTCAGTTCCAGCTCTAACTACATGGATGCAGCTGAGCGGGAGGTGGCGTGTGTGCACGAAGGACCTTGATAGATAGGTGACTCCCATTATCAGCACAGCCTGTCATGAACACACTGCCAGTAGCTGCTTGGTAAACCTCTGTGATAATTTCACACTGTTACTAGGCAGAAATTACAGATTTGGGTAGATTTCTTTTTATTTTTTACTTTCTTTAAATACAGTCGTTTGAGACTAGCTAACACTAAATAATAACAATATTATTTTATTCTAGTTTTCACCACATTTAACTGTGGTAACTTTAACTACATTTTACAACTTAAAGGTTTTATTCTTATTGACATATTTCTGGTGACTGTAGAGGACGTTATTGAACGTTTTCATGTGGTGAGAGGTAGCTAAAAGTCTTCCCCTCTCTGGCTTTGATAGTCTTTTCTCTCACTCTCTCCCACTGTCTGCAGCTCAGCAGGTACTTGTTCTTTATTGAAACCAGACTAGGCTCACTTTCCAGGCTATCTTTCTCCAAGTGAGATACCTCAGAATCCAGTTGCACCTCTTGAGTTTGTACTCCAGTTTTCGTCCCTATGCGTGATAGAAGCAAGGATTTTCATTGAGATTATCACTTCTTAATCTAAAGCATGTGGTTGCACAGATCTCACAGTAACTCAACCTGCTCTGCAGTCCCATGACAGTCCCAGCAGTTGTCAGGTCTAGCCTAAGACAATTCAGTCTCCTTACCCATATCTTTACCATTACTACATTGCAATCTTTGTTGCTTCATTCACCATGCCGCTAGGCTATTGAAGGCCCTCCAATGTGATATATGGGGCTGTGATTCCAGCACAGGCCTATTTCTGACCGAGCAAAATACATGCATGATTGTGTAAATCAATACAATGACTTCTCCTTCCCCTAATTTTGCACAAGCATGTGACCCTGTTTTGAAGGCCTCTTTGTTTTCAAAGAGCATGCCTCTACACTCATGCATTTTTTCTCCTTTTTTTCTCTCCTTTCTTCTAGAAAGACCGATCATCATATTAACATAAATGGGCATAAGTTCAGTGGTACTCGTCTGATGGCATAATTGGCCTTTGATCAGATGAGTGCCGCTTTGAGTGACTGGAAGTCATGTTGTACCAAGTGACGCCAGAGTCATTTGCGTGCTTTACGCTGCTGTATAGATATGTATTATTTACCACACATGCATAAAACACTATGCAGCATCATGCATTAAAAATTATTTTGAAAATTAGTTTAAATTGGGAAAATAGCAATCAATGCTCTGTTCACAGAGTTTTAAAGAATCACACGTGTGTGTTTCAGCTCAATTTTTTGCATTACCTAATAATACGAGCCACAAACTGGATCAAGATTTCTGTGGTGAGCAATCCTCTTACTGACGTTGTAATTGTGAATGATGTTTTATTAAAAATCTAGTTACACAACTAAAGTCTGACACATGTAATTTCATTAGGTTTCTGGGGGTTTTTTTTAGTCTGAAAAACGACTCTCTCAAGCAGTATTCCCACACAAAGGGAATTCAACCAGCTAGCTCCCGATTTAATGTACGGATTAGCCAAAGTGGACTTAAGAGGGTGGCATCTGTTTGTACAGATCAGATTAAAAGCAGTGACACTTCGGCTATGTGACATAGCTGGATCTCAAACTGTGAGAAATAATATACTCATGGGATGGTCACTCACTTTGACACATTTTTCTGTAATTTTGTTTGTCACAAAATGAAATTGTCATTGGGATTTTTAATAATGGAGCATTATTATTCCACGCAATATGGTGTCTCTGTAGGAGGCCAGTTAATTTTGGGGCCTGGAGCCTCACTGTGGACCCCCTTTGGATTGTGTCCATTCATTTGTTTTATTCTCCGCTGTGTATTAGCAGCCTCATTTGGATAAGTCAGGAAGCTGGAGCACATGGCCAGAGGGCACCCAGAGACCCTCTAGCGGTAACCTCAACAGGCATTGTTCGCAGTAAGCTTCAGCACACAGAAATAACCAAATGTATTGGTTTGATGGCGCATTCTGAGAAAAGAGAGACGAATAAAAGTGTAAATTATAAAACTTAATTGATTGTCTCAGCTTCAGTTGGCCCTTCACCCCTCCCCTCTGCAATACGGTACGCTTGTCAGACTCGCTGATAAATTACATGCATGTATTTGCATGAATTTTGCATATATATATACAATTCAAGTTTGTTTGCCAAAGTAACAATCCAGAGAAATGCCTGGTTTGTGTTACTAAAACGAACATACAATCTTACGTAATGCTCGGCACACCTTTTCATACACATTTTATGCATTTGGCCAGATGCAGTGACAGTGCTGCTGCACTTTATCAGCATGCAGTTTGCAGTTGGTATTTTGTTGTTAAACATTTCGTGTGCTGGAAACTAGGGCACCTGGTTTTTATTACTTTATTCTACATGAGTTCCTATTGTTGATTTCTAGAAACTGGATTTGTTTAGGTCATAAAGACTTGAACAGTTTGTATGTTAGCATGCACTTATTTTCATTTCTGTTTAGCTGCTTTGTTTTTGCTTTATTGTTGATTTCCACCTTGTTTGTGCTTAAAGGCAGCCATTCAGCAACAACGCTGTGATTAATCTTAATGTCTGCAAGATGTCTACCGTCTAAAAGTGGGTGCTGTAATCATCTGCCCACTGACCCCATGATGCTCATATGCGGGCCTCTGTACGGCCCTTGTGTATGATAAGTAATTTCAAATCTCAGATTGAATGAACTCGACTCTCTCCCACGTGTCATGTGATCTGGGAGTAGGAGTACACCAAAGCACAAAACAAAGGAAATGCAAGAATCGAGGGCATATTGCAGGTTTGGGGGTGTTGGTAATCAAATGCTGTTGGTGAGGCCTGTGATGAAATTAGGTGATGTTGCCTAAATAAGGGATGAAGGGTTCATAATTGCCAGTCTTAGAGATCTGAGGTACCGGGTGCCAACTGTCAGAGCAGGGCTAATGATGACAAATGTCTTTCTATGCAGATTGCTGCAGAAGCACCAGTGTGCAGCTGAGAAAGAACAAGAAAAGAAAAATGCAGAGGGACTAACAAGAGAAAGCTTGTGTGCTCATACTTAATGACCTACATGGAAATAAACCTGCATAACTGATGGGCCTTCTTTGAAAGTGCTAAAGCTTGAAGCTGTTTAAAGTTACCCCTACAGTACCTTGTGCATGGCTGTTATTAATAGGCATTATTCCCCGTGAGTGCGAAGAATCAGTGATATCTGCACCTCTATCTGATGCAGTGAACGCGAAGTCTGAAGTTACATTTGCTTACAAGCTTGTCAAGATGATTTGACAATAAAAATTATGTCATGTTTTAGCTCTATATTTAGCCAAATAATCCATCAGCGCCAGAGGAGAAGACATGAAAGCAAGGCTCAGCATTGCCTTTGTGTAGCTTTCCTCATTAGCGGTTCTTTAGCTGATGCTTTGGTTGTTGTTGTGCAATGCAGCAAAATGTAATTTTTTAAAAAGTGACTTGGCTCGTTACACCGTGGTTCAGTTAGAGCAGAACAAGCTGTTCCTGGATAACAAACTGTTGTTAACTTAGCTTTATTTCTTTCTTTCTTAAAATTGCGCTTAATTTTAACCACTTTTTGTAGCAGAGAGCCATAAATCTGATTTCACTTACTGTGACGTAAGGCTCATGCTAATAAAAGAGCAAGCCCAAAGTGCTGCATGGCCAGATTTCCCCAATTTGTTGCATGAATGGCTTTTGAAAGGGGTCCGTCTTTGTACAAAGGGACTCTCGTCTTTGTTTGGTTTCGCCCCATCTGTGTCATCTGGTGGTCTGTGCAAGAGGGTGGTGTCTCGGGGTGCTCCCCAGCGGCGTTGCCAGTTGTTTTATGGACTCGTTGGAGTGGTGCAGGGAGTTCATAAGTTGGCTGGGCCATTGTGTGCTGAGCCCAGCTGACACGTGTGAATTGACTCCAGCATATTGACAGATCATTTCCATTAATGAATCGAGGAGTCTGCCTTGTTTCACTCTGTGATTTATGCCCTTGCTTCATCATCCTCAGAGCTCTGGGTTAAATAACAACCCCCTGAAAGACTCAAGCACTAATTGCTGGATGAAGTGAGTTTGCTTTGTTCAGTAGTTTTAAGTATGCCTAGATGTTCTGTAAG